TCAGCCCAGGAACACATCCACAGCAGCTCACATGAGCTGCATGGATGCCCTGCTGCATTTCCAGCATGAGTTTCACCCGTAACATCTGACATACCATCTAACTTAGACTGACAGCAAGTTCCAGCTCTGTGTTTCTTCTTTGCAAACAGCAGTGAGATTAGGAATGACACTTGGGCTATGCCTCAGGTTGGTGAAGACAGTCTTGCAAAATCCATCATGATGCATGTCATAATGATGACAGTCACCTGATGTGCATTCCCACCATGGTCTCCCCAGTTAGTTTGGCAAACAGACGGTGTTGCAATATATTGCACGTGAGGGGCCAATACGCTGCTTGTGAATAATGCAAATGCATGACTGCCGAGTAGTTCTTTGGGTACAAAGTGGCCTTGGATTAAGCTTCATTCTGCAAATTGCAGAGAAGCCTTTGCATCCTCTGAAGTCTTAGACATCGACTTGATATTTCCAATTCACTTTGATCATCCCATTCTTGACAGTGTGGCACTTATCCTCTTAGAAAGAAAATTGGTAGTTGCACAGTATTAGAGGTTGTCTAATTTAAGGTGTGAGGGAGTGTTGCGTGCTGGTGAAAAGGTAATCTTTATAATGAGCATTGGCACAATCTGATAATGTACCATTACTGAGTTTCCCTCTCTTTTGTTTTTTTCCCCTTTTCCTGGAAATATGTCACCTGTAGATAGAAGCAAGGAAAATGGACTGCAATTGCCCAGGCTATGCAAATTCTGTGACATTAAAGCAACAACATGCTCAAACCAATATCAGTGCAAGAGCAACTGCAACATCACTTCCATCTGTGAGAAGAATAACGAAGTCTGTGCTGCTGTATGGTAAGTGATTTCGTTGTACGGGTGGGGAAGGGAGCACAGACTCATTTGCCATTACTTAGCCCTTTTCTGAGTTGCTCAAATATTCTAAACCACTTTGCTGTTTCTTCAGACTCACATTTCTCTCTTCCAACTTGTATCTTTATTCAGCATACTGAAAGTTGTTTGAAGTTAACAACAATTCTGTTATGAAATATTCTAGCAATTTTTATTATTTTTTTTTTGTTTAAAGTAGTTGTATTCCAGTGTGTTCTCTTATTGCAAATGAGGCATATTATTGCTCAAAACATTTTACTGCACCTATCCACATTACTTAGTGTGAGAAACAGGTCTGAAACTGAGAGAAAAATTTTTCAGCCAGCACCACTGCCGTTCTCCATCAAATTTCACAGTAAACTAGTTTTACACTTATCATATCACCCCTGTTTGCCACATATGGTGGAAATGCATTCCCATAATTGGAAAGAAAAACTATGTGTATACAGTCTGTCTGCTGTCTTTTGCTTTTTGTACAGCATATATAAGTGACCAAAGAAAGACTGAACGTGTGAAAATGGAAATATTTGTTGTTGACTCTAAACTCACCCTCCATTCTAAAATCTGGGTTATTATCCTTCCATTAATGGTAAGCCAAAGAGAACTAGCAGCAGTCTTGATGTGTTCCTGAGTGGAAAAATGGAACAGAACTGAATATTTGCAACATCGCTGCTAGTATAGAAATATGATTTGAACCAGTTAGGTGATTAAGAAACTTATTGAGAGAGCAGTTACATCCGTTGACTTGAAGAGATGTTGAACGTAATTGGATGCAGATGCTTGAAATGCAGAATTGGTCTGGCATGCTTTTGTATTTGTTGGGGGCTCCTTGAGTACGTGTTCGTTGTCTGTGATTGCCTTCCAAAGTGACTGTAGTGCTGTAGAAGACACACTTGGCGTTTTCATGCCAGTTTAGCCAAAAGGTACATGAGGTGAGAGCTGTGTTTGAAGCGCTCTTTCCCTCTAAGCCTTGTGTCAGTGAAGTAAAACCTGTGGACCAAGACAAAATGCAGGGATCTGGGCCAGATTATCAGCTGTAAATATTTCCCTGACAGTGAGGTCACTCTGGTTTGCAGCAGTTTTGTTGTGTTTTTCACAAACAGCATTCTGCAAGTAAGTAACTCCTTCAGTGCCAAAGCTGTGTGGATTGCAGGCCTCAAAAACAAAACCAAAAATCCTGCCTCACTAGAAATTCCTCAGATTTTGAGGGCATCATTCAGTTTTTATCATAATTCCCCACGGATTTTTGCTGTCTGCGCAGTGACCACAAAAACCAAAAGTATGTTCTGAAGTTCACAGCAGGCAGGTCATTGAGCCTTAGCTTGGGTAATTTTGGGTGAGACATTCAGAGGCTGTCCTTGGAGCTTAGTGGTGATGTGACCCAGGAGGATCAGAACCGTTGTACAAATGCCCCAGTGTGGAATAGCCCAAGCATGACCAAAATTTCCCCGTTCAGGAGAGCAGGAGAAAAACTGACAATATTCTATGCAGATCCCCTCTGAGCTCTCAAACGAGGCAAATATTGGGCAGGGATGACCCAGTCTGCTTCCTTTCTTGAATACGCTTCTTTTGATTTCAGTTTTTCCTCTTCCCTCCTAGGAGACGGAACGATGAGAATGTGACATTAGAAACAATCTGCCACGATCCCCAGAAGAGACTGTATGGTCACACGTTGGATGACTCCAGCTCAGAGCAGTGTGTGATGAAGGAGAAGAAGGATGATGGGGGACTGATGTTCATGTGCTCCTGTACAGGTGAAGAGTGCAACGATGTTCTTATTTTTTCTGCAGGTGAGTTTAATAATTTGCTCTTCATTCTTGGGCTCTGCCTGGCACGTGATATGAAATGTGACATTAAATCCAGTGATCTTTGGAATTGCCTTTTGTGGAGGAAACCTTCCAGGTGGCTGGAGACTTTCTGGCCTCTTGTGAGGCTGCAAAATCTCAGCCTTTCCTTTGTGCTTTCTGGACATATTTCTTTTTGCCAGGTAATGTTCCTTTGGAAGCAGTTCAGATATTCATCTCAGCACATGGCACTAGAAAGTCACTTGAATGATAAGA